ACTCTGTCCAGTCATCCAGAATTCCTTCCCAGCCATCCTCACTTAGAACCCCAGCCCCAAAGACCTGACGATCCCTCCCTCCAGGGCTACTGGAGGCCACAGGGTCGAACAACCTCCTGCCGAAGCCCTGCAGTTACTTATTCCTAATTCTGAATATAGCATGAGTCAGGGTCTCCCAGAGATGTAGATTCCCCTAAAAAGAAGGGTCTTCTCTTCCCATCTGGGCTGGAGCCTCCTCTTGGGTCAGTCCCATGCAGCTGAGGCCAGCAGGATAGGATCAGAGAGTTGCCAGGACAGCCCTCCCTTCCTTAACTCACAAGTCTGACCTGTGGGTCTCAAAGGGTCTTTGTCCTCTATTAGAATGCAGCAATTAGGAGTGTATCTACACAGCAGTTGCTTGAGGAAGGCCTGAGGGGTGTTACATAACAACATCATTTATTGAGCACTTACTATGTGCCACGCACTGTGCTACTAAGCACTCTCATGACTTACCTTACTTATCCCCATGCAAGCTCTATGAGGCAGGCAGGTATTATGCCCATTTTACAGAGGAGAAAACTGAGGCCAACAGAGGTTAAAGTGCACAGCTAGGAAATACCAGTTCAGCATCTGATGGTCCAGCTCTGAGAGGTTCCAGGCAGCCAGCTGGGTGGGGCAGGAGGGTTGGTCAGGTATCATCACTTATCCTCAGGTCTGGTCAAGGCTGTTAGAGGAACCACAGTGGGGTGGGGGTGGGAATGGGAGGAAATTCTTCCACAAGAACCAAGGTCTTATCCTAGTCTCCCTGGGGTTTTCAGGCCTGTGAACCAGGCCCTGGAAGGCACCAGGCAGTGTGGCACCAGCAGCTCTTTGGAAAGGCAGTGGCCAGTGGAGGCAACCTTAGTCCCCAGGCTAGATAGGGCAGCTCCCAGTGCTTTTAGGAGCCACCCAGGCTGCTCCCATGGGATCCCAGATCTCAGCCCAGGAAGACTGAACACCAGCCCTGGAGGGAGGGTCCACTGATTGCATCTTGGTCCATCTAACTGCATGAAACTTGTCAAGGGCCCAGGCTGGATTTCAGGGGGTCCACGTGTAGGTCAACTCCTGGAGGCCGGGGGAGCCAGTCGGGCCTGGTTGACTATAGTGGGCAGAATACTGGCCTCCCAAAGATGTCCATGTCCTAATTCCCAAAACCTGAGAATACATTCCCCTCATGGCAAAGGGGAATTAAGGTTGCACAAGGAGTAGAGGTTGCTAGTCAGCTCACCTAGAGGTGGCAAAGTACCCTGCCTCGTCCTGATGGGCCCAGTGTAATCACAAGGGTGATTGTAAGTGAAATCCTTGTAAGTGAAAGGGGGAGGTAGGAGGGTCCAAGTCAGAAGAAAATTTGAAAATGCTGCACTGTTGGCTCTGAAGATGGAGGAAGAGGCCGACAGCCAAGGAGTGCAGGCAGCCTCTAAAAGCTGGAAAAGGCAAGGAAACAGATTCGCCTTTACAGCTCCAGAGGAACCAGCCCTCCTGATATGTTGACTTTAGCTCAGGGAGACACATGTCAGATTTCTGACCTCCGAACTGTAAGATAAAAAAAATCCCGTGTTGCTTTAAGCCACTAGGTTTTTGGTGATTTGTTACAGCAGCCACAGGAAAGTCACACGCTGACCATGCTCTTGGCTGTGTGGATGGTGGATACCATTTTCAGATTTTGCTTCCCCTCTGCCTTGGGGTGAGGTTTCTCTTTGCCCCGTTGTCCCC